CTTTCTAGTTTTTGTTAATATGAGCTAAAATTTCAAAGTAAATTTTTATAGTTTTATAGACAGTCTATTCTCTTTCAAACATTGAAAAATTATTTCGATATTTGGATTTGGTTTTAGAACCAAGTTTGAAATATCTATTTATTAGTTTTGGTGTTCATCTCCAGTATATTTATATCATGACTTTCTTCTTTTTTTAGGTCTTGTTATTTATTCATTTCATAGTTGTTTGGAAAACATCCTCAAGTACTTATTTAAAAAAAAAAAAAGACTCAGGATTGGAATATTTTCTGAGCCCTTGCTAACCTGAGAATGTGTTTTGTTCACTGTGGCCTGAGTACGTCTATGCTAGTGTAGCTAGGTATAAAATTTTGAGTCATAAGTTTTCCCTTTTATAGACATGGCTTTGTGATCATTGGCCCAGATCTTTGTTTTTGAATCTCTCTGGTTTTTTTTCCACATCTTGGTGTTTTGTAAAAATATGTCTAGGTGTTGGACCCTATTCCTTGAGCTTTGATTCTCCCTGCCATTCACTGGGAATTAAACTCAGAGATGCTTTACTACTGAGCCACATCCCCAGCCCTTTCTATTGTTTTAAACAGGGCCTCTCTAAGTTGCTGAGGGTGGCCTAGAATTTGATGCTCCTCCTGCCTCAGCCTCCTCAGTAGCTGGGATTATCGAGGGATGCCACCAGGCCTAGCCTGCTTGAGTCCTGCTTCCATTCCGTTTGGCTTCTGCTGCAGTTCCCACCTGTCACCTACCCGCTCTCTACTTTCCTACATTTTTATCCTCTTCCATGTTTCTATGTCTTTATCCTTTCCCCCTATATTTTGTAAATTTCTCCATCTTCTCAAATCCCTGAATCAGTTTGCCACAGTATCATTTCTCTCTGCTGCTTACAAAGCGGATGTTAATTGTGCCACTGGGATTTGAGATAATTTGCTCTAGTTTTTATTTTTCCAGCTCTTCTCTCTCTCATGCATTTTATTTATATATATATATAGTCTTTAACCTTATCTTTATCTTTCCTCCTATTTCATGTGACTTTCTCTTTCTAGAATTGTTTGGTCTGTCCTGCGTCTTTGGTTGCCTGTTGTTGGTGGCTGTTTTGGAGTTGTGGCCACACAGTTGAATAGTTGTGACGCAGAGCATGTGGCGCTCAAAGACTCAGATATATACTGTTTGCCCCTTTGTAGAAAAAGATTTGTTGATCCCTGTCCTAGCCTGAGGGCTGGATCCAAGGTGGATGGCAGGGGACGGTCCATGGCTCCATCTCCAATTCCCGGTTTCTACCAACCTTTTACTTGGATTTGCTTCTCCTGGGTAGACTCGGTGCCCTTCTTATTCCTTACTTTCTGATTCTCTGCCATCAGTGATTTCGATTAAAAATATAAGTTCAGGAAGCCACTGCCACTGCTAATCCTTCTGGTCCCTACACTTCCCCAAAGTTCCTCCCCTGGTGGAGGGCTCACGCCCTGTGCCCCCGCCCTCTTCTTGCCCCATCGTTTTTTCTGGTCAGTGTCCTTCTGCCTGCCATCTTCCTCCCTCGCCCCAGGATCTTTCTGTTCATCAGACAAAGAGCTGAGTCCCGAGGTAAAACCTGGAGAGTTTTTGCTTCTTCCCCCACCATCTGCCTTTAATTAATAGAGATTGCTCCCAGATCCCGGCACTGGGTCATCTATCAGTTTGCGTTCTTGGCGTTAGTGTGTGAATTTTCATCTTTTCATTGTCTTTATAGCTATTTTGGCACAGAAGCCAGGAGAGGCTCCGCAAGGGGGCTGCCAAGTAGATGCCATGTTGGGGAGGAAGACAGAGTTGGCTTTTAGAGCCTGTGGTTTATCCATCTCAGAGGCCATCTCTGTGGCTCTGCGTGCCTTTGATAAAGGAAGCAAATACAGGGACGTTGTCCTTATCCAGGGACCACTTGGTCCAGTGACCTCAGCTATCTGGAATACAGTCCAAAGGAAGAGTCACAAGCAGCCAAAAAGCTTTACCCCCCTCCCCCCGGCATCTGTGTTCCGGAAGGTTCTTCATTTTCCCCAAAGGAGAAAGAACAGTTGAGCCTCTCTCTCCTTCCAAGCCTCTTTACCTGGGCTTTACACACAGTTCTAGAAAGCTTGGTCTTTGTTTTCCTAGCTCACCATTAAATCAGTGTCAGCAACTCTGGAGGGAGTAGGGCGCAGTTTGCAACAAGCGTCCTGACGTCACCAGAACTGGCGACTGACAGGAAGGAGGGACACCCCACCCCCCAGCCCCCAACAAAGGCCAGCATAGCTCAAATGCTCAGAGACTGACATCTTCTGAGTTTGAGTTCACAACCACCTCTCTGGGTCCTCTGCCGAGGCGGGTGCTGTGGGCACATCGTGGGTACAGTTACGAGCCCCTTCCTGTGGTTCAGAGAGTGTTTCTAATGCTGGCTGCCCGTCACAATCACCCGAAGAGCATTGGAAATCCAGACACTCAGGCCATTCCCTGAGCCAAGGAAGTCAAAACCTCTAGGGACCAGGACTCGGGTACCAGGGTGGTTTAAAGATTCCAGGTGATTCCATGCATAGCCAGGATGGGAAACCAAAGGTTAGAATCCCAGGCTCTGGAGGCAGATGGCCTCCCGAGGCACACGACCCTGGGGGAGCAGGTCCCCAACATCTCTGGACCTGGATGCTCCTCTGTGAAATGGGACCCACCTGGAAGGGGCCAGAAGAGCTTGTAAAGCATCGGGAACAGCGCCAAGGCCCTGTTCCTGCCCTGTGTTGCCTCTGGGATCCAGTGCAGCCCTGGAGGTGCGTGGCGATGACTGGGATTTGGCACACAGGCTCTGGGAGCTCGAGCGAATTAGGCAGTGATGGATGTCGCACATCCTAGGACGATTTCTGTCCCAGGTGGACGCTTGGCTCTGAAGAGAGGAGCTTTCGATGGCTGTTACCAGGCTGGGGGCAGTGATGCTGAAGGTCCAGGGGGAGGCTGTCCCAGGGCCCCGTCTGCCTCCCTTCTGCCTTGTGGGGCGGGGCTCCCCTTGGGCAGGCTGCCCTGGAACCTCTCTGAGCTGTGCTTTCTCCATTTTAAGCTGAGCACTGCAACCTCCCACAAAGCCCCCGCACCCCAAACCTGGTAGAGGGGACACGCTCAGAGGCGCCCTTTCCACCCAGGCTGTCGGAGGGGTGGGTCTTACTGGGCCCAGGCCGAAGAGGCAGGATGTCAGCCTTTCTTCCCAATCGGAAATGAGAGTACTGACGGGGGCCCAACAACTTTCACAAAAAAAAAAAAAAATATATAACACAAAAGGCACCGAATGGATTCGAGGCTGTCCCTGCCGTGACATGACTAGACATCACTTGCATTCCAATTGGCTTCCATAAGTGGAGGGAGCAGGGAGCGAGCCAGTTCACTGGCACCACCAGATTGTGCAAGGCCTGCCTTCAGCCACACCGTGCCTCTGCCGGGAGCATCATCTGTCCCCGAGTGGCAGAGACACGGCCCGGCACAGCCGATCCCCACCTGGAAGTGCAGTGGACGGTGGTGGGGATGGTGCTGTTGACTTGTGTGTTGGGGCTGCCGTCCTCCCCCATCCTGGGGATTGGTCACAGTTGAGTGAAGGCCACTCTTTCTGGACATCCCAGTCCCTGCATCCCAAGAGTTGTTGGAACCCACCAGCCGTCTGGTTAACAGGAAAACCTGACACCGTGGCCTCCTATGTCCTGAGCGGGGGTTCAAGGGCTCTGACGGCAGAGGAGCGGCAAGGTGGGCTGTTCTTCCTCCAGTTCCTGTGACTGGTCCCTAGTTTGGGGCCTCAAGAGACTGGCCTGGGARGCAGAAGGGGCTGCCCCGGGACCCTGGTTCTCAAGGCAGCGATGTAGCTGAGCTAATTGAGGCACCAGTTACTGCATCCTGGGACCTCAGAGGAGACAACTGCCTCCTTTGGAGCCAGAGACTGACTCTAAGGAGATTTCTGAAGATTCTCTGCAGATCTTAGCCACGGGCTGGGAGCAGAGGTCCTGAGGCCTGACTTCCTGCCCTGGCTTTGCTCTGTACTTCCACACAAATCGTCCCTTTCTGCCACATTGACCTCAGTTTTCTTGTCTGCAGAATGGGAATAGCATCATCTCTCATGCATCAAAGAACGGTTCTAAGAATCGAGTGAGAGCCCGCACTCTTGCGTGGCAGGGGCAGACCAGGCAGGTGGGGTTTCCTGGGCCTCTGCAATGACCTGGGCCACCAGGCTCAGGAGGTCACAGACCTGGTGAAAGAATTGCATCATCTTGTCCAAAGAGCAGAAATGTCTGGCTGGGAGAGGACAAATTGGGATGGGGTCCAGCCACGGAGTCTGCATTTGGGGAGTTGAAGGTCTTCTGCCAGAAGAAGCGAGTCTCATGGCTGGCAGGCCCCGGTTCTCGTTTCGGGGCCTGGAAGCCCCCGAAGTGATACCCTGCGGACGCGGGCCTGGCAGCCCTGCCTCTCAGCAGTAGGGCCCATTAGAACTGAACTCTTCTTCGTGGGACATTTTATTTGTACACTCCAGTGGAGTGGACACCAAAAGGGGTTTTCTAATACTTCATGGGCTGCTAATTTCCTCTGTGACCTCTTTTGTTGGGGCCTGACCCCAGCCAGAGGCTCCGCGCCATGAAAGCCAGTGGCTGACACAGACCCAGAGCGCGGGGGGTGACAATGAGGCTTTAATCAGGGCTCCGGTGGCATCTGAAGAACAGGGGGAATTTGTGTGGTGCTCAGAAGCCCTGGGTGGCAGGATTCGGGAGCCCCCAGAGACTCTCACGGAGGCCAAGGCGGCTAAAGGATTCCTCAGGCCAGAGGAGGAGGGGGTCAGGCGGGGGCCTTTTGTCCCCAGGGCCTCTTTAGAAGGCGAGGCCTGCCCTGAATGGCCACCCCGCTCGCTCGGCCGTGGCCCAGGGGTATCGCAGGCCTCTGGGGAGGTGGCCTCTCGCCCAGCCCACCAGCCTATTCATTGCCAGCCCTAATTAGTTTTTGTCTGCTCTCTGCCCCTCCTGCAGACTGCGATTCCTACTGTAAGGCCTCCAAAGGGAAGCTGAAGATTAACATGAAAAAGTACTGCAAGAAAGACTATGGTGAGTAGAGCCCCGTCCTGGGAAGTGGGGTGAGGCCGTGTGACCCGTGGAGAGCTGGGGTGGGGATGCAGGTGGGTCACGGGATCCCTGCGACCAGTGGATCTCACACCCAGGCATTGCTCCTCTCTTCCACCTTGGCCCTCGGGGACAGAGGGCATGAGGGGCCACAGGGGCCTGGCTTCTCCTCCTCTCCCTGTGGAAGGCCGTTAAGGCCAATGGGAACCTCTGAGGCTGGGATTCCCAGGCTGGGCCCTGGCCTTGGCCCTGCCTCTGCTGGGCTGTGTGGCTGCAGACTGGGCCTTGCTGATCTCCCATGTCCTCATTCATCCTGTGGACAGTCCCCTTAAGTCTGTGTGGCTCACCAGCAGGGCCCTCAAGCATCAGGACAGTGGTAGGAGCTCCTGGTGTGTGTAGAATGTTCCTCTCAGCTGCAGGGAGCCTGGGGAGTCTGCATTGCCAAGGATCCAGCCCTTTTCTGACCCTGAGGGGTCCTTGCCGGGCCAGTGGCAAGACTCAGACTTTTTTATAATATTTTTTAGTTGTAGTTGGACTCAGTACCTTTATTCTACTTATTTTTACGTGGTGCCGAGGATCGAACCCAGGGCCTCGCATGTGCTAGGCGAGYGCTCTACCGCTGAGCCTCACCCCAGCCCCAGACTTTTATTTTTTTTATTAGTGCATTATAGTTACACAGAACACTGGGTGGATTATGGACATTTTCATAGATGCACGTAAACTTTGTTTCCTAACAAAGGGTCAGGACCTTATTGGCATAAAATGATGAATGATGATGAATGTTGAGAACTTCTAAAACATTCTCATTTTATTCCATGCATGTGAGAGCATATGTATGTACACACGGATCAGCACACCCATGCCTGCACGCACACACCCCATGCTGACGCCAGGGCGAGACCCTAGTAACCCAGCCTGGCCTCCCTCAGGATGAAGCAAGAGCAACTGGTAGGTTTTACATGTCAATTCAGTGGTGTCCAGGTGGTGGGCATTGATATTCCAGGCCCCTCCGAGGTCCCCAGTAAATTCCCAAAAGCCCCTTTAAAATACAGCCATCGCCAGGTAGTATAGAAACTTCCAGCTCCCCCGGGGAAGTCAACCTGGATTTTGACAACACACTTGGCCATCATTTGAAGATAAAGGAAGCGTAGTGTCTCCAAGCCAGGGTGACAGCCACAAGGAGGGGCTCCAGGTGGTTTTTGGAAGAAGACCACGCAGCCCCCCAGCTGCAGGACACATGTGTCCAAGGCTCAGGCCTCCAGCCTCGGCTGGGGATTATGAGGTGGCCCCTCCCAACCCTCAAGTGAGCAGGAGACTTGGGGGACCCCTTCCAGAGCTTCTCCTAGCCAAGCAGCAGACCTGGGCAGTGTGAGTCCCAGGGAGGCCATGTCCCCTCTTCCCATGTCCCTCCTCTCCTTGGTCTGCACAGGCCCAGGGGGAACTGGGCAGGGAGGTGGGAGGGAGAGGGACCAGGTGGGCCGCTGGAGGCAGGGGTCATATTTATTTGTTTTGGGGTTTGGACTTGAAGGATCCTGTGAGCAGCTGCCCTGGGAGGAAGAGGTTAGGAGAAGGGGAAGTTGGGTTTCTGGAAGGTGCTTCTATTCTGTTCTTCAAGGGGAAAAGAAGGAAAAATTAGACTTTAACCAAAATGGGTCCCCTTTTCCACCTGACTATTACTCAGTCTGGATTTGTTGTCCTTGAAGTTTTGTTCTGGGTTTTGCTCCAGGACTCTGCCTCCTTCGCCTTTGATATTCCAGGGGGCTCCTGGCCCCTTCAGTAAGCAGACCCTCTGTACCTTCCAAACATGACACCCTGCCTTTGTAGTCAGGAGCCCAGGGCTGTGCTGCCCCCACCCCTGGCCGGGTTCCAGGGGACGCTCTGTTCCCTGACTGAGCCCTCTCCTTGCCCATATGAGACTTCCACGCTTATCAGAATGAAGCTGGTGTCGGAGATGGTGGGCTTCAGTGCCTCTGCTTACAGATGGGGACACTGGCCCTGCTGGTCAGGGGTCTTACTCAGTCATACAGCCAAGGGGTGGCCCGGCCTCCTGCTCCCTCCACCGCAGCCTTCCCTAAGCTCTTCCCTCTCCATCAGTATTAGCCCCCAGGACCCCATTTGTCACAAGACCTAGAATGGTCAAGGACAGCCTAGTGTAGCTACCTTTCCAGATATCATGGTGGCCCCTGTTTCTGACCCATCTCTGCCACTCAGGTGTGTCACCCGGATGTCCACATGTCTGTTGCTCTTGAAGACTTGAGGAACAGTAGGTTATAGGGAGATTCTAGGACCTGACAAGGTCGAGGCCTGTTGTATCACCAACTCACCATTATGTCCCAGCATCCCATGTAGAGGACACCTATAAAAAATTAAAATGAGAAGTGAATATACCATTATTGTACCTTTGCTCATTTTAAGTTTTTATAGGTCCCATCTATTTAAGTCCTATATATGGACACTAGTACACAATGGGTCTCAATGTCCTAACCTGCTGCCTCATACTGCCTTGTCCCATTCACCAGTGTCCCTTGTGGGGAAGGGTGGTTTCTGTATTAGTCTATTTCGTATAAAATACCCAAGACTGGGTAATTTATAAAGCAAAGAAGTTTATTTTGACTCAGTCCTGGAAGTCCTAGAGCATGGCGCCAGTACCTGCTCAGCTTCTGGTGAGGGCCTCCTGTTGCCTCAGCTCATAGGGGACAGTGGGAGAGAAGTGGAATCCAGTAAAAGAGGACAGGACACAGGGGAACAGATGGTTTATAACAATGTGCTCTTGAGATAATTAACCCACTCTTTTGAGAATGACTTAAATCCTTTCTTGAAGGTGGATCTCTCATGACCCAAATGACCTCTTAAATCCCCACCACCTCTCAATGCCATTACAATGGGGACCAGGCCTCAATATGAGTTTGGGTGAGGACAAACCACATCCAAGCCATAGTGCGTGTGAGTGGGAGGGGTTCTAGTTTCACAGCTCTCCGTAAATGGGGTCATTTGAGAGTTGGGGAATCTCTCCAACCCGGCTCAATGTCTAAAGGGTCTGGAAGTGGGGGTTACACGGGTTTCTAGGGATGGTTCAGAGGAGTCCAGGAGGGAGCGTGACTCGGGAAGGAGTAAGTGGCATCCACAGGGGGCTGGGTGGGGCCTAGCACACCATGCCAGCCCATGGGTGCTGCCAGCAGAGCCTAGCAGTTGTGAGGCCTTGCTCTGAGGCTGGGATGTAGTCTCCAGCTTGGGGTCTCCTGGGCCTCATGGAGGACCCTAGACCCCTGGAGGCAGTGTGTATGGGGGCTCCCTCCCACCCAAGGGAGATGTGGGCGAGCCCAGGGAGAAAATGGGTGGGAGGCAGCCAGCTTCAGGATCAGAGGCAAAGCCATGGGCCAAGGAAGAGGCTGCGTGGTCCCTGCTCCTCTGACTGACAGCCCTGCAGGGGGCCAATTAGGGAACACATTTCCTTTCCATCCAGGTTACTTGGATGTTCCAGAAGTGGCTAATTAGGACTTTAGGTTTGTCATCCCTGCTGAGCAAAGGCCTCAGACCCCTTCTTCCTCCAGGACAGGCTTGATAGGGTGCCACTGGAGACCACGGGTTTGGGAATCCGCTGACCCTGGGCAGTGACAATGGTCAGAAGGCTGCAGGCCAAGGAAGCCTGTGGGAAAAGACCCCCGGGTGCTGCCCCTGCCCTGTGCTTGCTCCGATGTGTCTGCTAGTGCCCTGGGCCTAGCTTGGAAGGGTTCCGGGTAGATACCAAGCAAGACGGGAAGGAGTGGGGGTGGAGAGGGTCTCAGTGCCATGCTGCAGAGAGGCCCCTGCCCAGAAAGACCCCACACAGGAGAGGCAGCCTGTTCCATTCCTGCTGGAGGGAAAGGAATTCTAGCCCCGGAGTCTAGAGATAGATTCCAAATTTGCTGTGTGACTGTGGACAGGGAGCTTTACCAGTCTGGGCCCCAGTTTATTTATCTGTTCTATGAGATGCAATTAAGGGGACATGACAGTCTTCTAAACGAGACACCTTGCCAGGCACCATTTCTAAGGGGCAGGAGCCCACAGAGACACTGTCACCTGTCTCCACCTCTGCTGGGCCACCTCAGCCCTCTGTTGCCCTCTAGGGGAATCTGGCTCACCTTGCAAATACTTGAAAAAGAGCCAAGGAGAAGGTCGATGGGAAGACGGGGCGTGTCATTTACAAGCGTTTCAGCAACTCAGCAACTTCTCAGGAAAACCACACCTTGGAGGGGCACTTTGTGTGATTTCTCAGAGCAAGTGTGCCCGGGTGTGTAAGAGCGCGTGTGCTCACTCCCAATCCTGCATTCCACTGAACCAGCACAGACACAGACCACACCCCATTGGAGTTACCTGCCGGGAGAGGCCTGAGGCATTGGAGGCCAGTATTCCTACCCAGGCCTGCAGAGAAGGGCTTCCTGGCTCTCCTCCCTTCCTCTACCATCTTCTCCCACTGTCCCTTGGGCAAATCTTCCCCTGCCTGGTCCTCACTCACCACCTCCATCTCATGTGGCTGCTCACAGGCACCACAACACACACACACACACACACACGGCAGTGCATAGTCCATGGCACTGTGGGTCCCTCACACCCATTGCACCCCCAGAATGTTCCCTCTGCACACATTCATTGAGCGCCTGCTCTGTGCCCTGTCTTATCCTGGGTGCTGAGCTCTCAGACCTGCCAAACACATGGTCTTGGTCCTCTGGGAGTTCCCAGTCTAGGAGGCAAGACAGACGCACGCCACAGAAGGGTGGACATATGGCCTGGTCACAGCCTAAATGGGCCTAAGCAAAGCACGGTGCATCCTCTGGAGGGGATCAGGAGGAGGGAGCCTGAGTGGCCGGTGTTCACTGGGCAAAGCAGAGATCGAGGTGGAGAGAAGTTTCCAAGCCCAGAAGCTCAACCAGGCTGGTGAGATTGAAGAACCCTGGGTGCAAGGAGGGCACTCAGGGAGACTGGAGAGAGAGGCCAGCATTGGCCTC